ACTTGTGCCATGAAGGAATCTACTCCCCAGAGATTTGAAGACATCCAAAACCCATGGGACCCCAGTTGTCCCCTCTGGAATGCTCTTCCCTGCCTCACAGAAAGCAGCACGGCTCCATATGCCCCAACCAGCCAGGTGAGTGCCAGACACCAGCACTGACCTGTCTGTCTGTTCCTGCAGTGAGTGGCTGTGTGTCCCCTTCCTAGGGAAACTGAGGCAAGGCTGGCTGTGTCACAGACTGACTGCAGAGGAGGGGACGGGCAGCAGCCGAGCCAGCACGGGGCTGCCAGGGCCCACAGGGAGGGAGGAGGCTCCCAGAGTTCAGACAAGACAGCACAAGGCACAAACAGACCCATTACTCCCTCTTATTACTGTAAGCAACCAGATCTGTGTTTGCTTTACTGCCTTTTGTCTTCCATTTGATTCCCGATGGCGTCTCCCTCAGTTTAAAGGCTGCTGGCATAGCGAGCCAAACCCAGCGCAGACCCCGGGGTGAGGGGGAGGGGGTGATACCCCCAGGACCACAGCAGAGACAGGGCTGGGGGCACTGGCAGAGCATGGAGAACGGTACCCAAATTTCATTCTGCATTTCGTTTAGTTCCCCATGAAATAATAAGTGTCTGCTGCCTCCGGAGACAGGAGAGGATCAAAGCAAAGCTTCCTCATATGTAACAGACTCCGAATACCTAATATTCCCTTATAAAAGGCCTTGTTTTAAACACCAAATACAGAGGCAGATCAAAGCTCAGCTTCTCATTTCTCTAACAGCCCTCAGAAGACTTCACCAGCCAGCAAGGCACACGCATGCGAGGCTGACACCGATCCAAGGTACATAATTGGACTCTACTAATTTGTCTAAACCATCATTGCGTGCTATGGAAACAGCCGAGTGCCTCATTCCTGGAGACCTTAGCTAAGAGCATCCCAAAGCAGGTTGCTGGGATGGGAAGGTACCACCTGGATGAAAGCAATGCATGAAAATAGTGTGATATATTTCCCTGCTCCTCTTTGGACAGACTGCAATAGGGGCGATGCTGAGAGGGGTGAAGCAATCCCAGACCCAAGCGTGGAGGAGTGGGCTCTCGGGGTGGTCAACAGTCACCATCAGACAATGGCTGGGTTGCAGGAGGGGCCAGAGGCTCTCCAGATCTCTGAGATGATCAGGGTAAGGATGCTTAGTCCCTCACAGGACCTCCGCACAACATCGTCACTGTCTCTGCCTCAGTTTCCCCTAAGCCAGGCAGCTGCACAGCATCTGCTCTGCAGTTCCGATGCAATGTTGATTTACTTTTCATTTACCCCTTAGAAACCATCTCCCAGAAGGGACTTTGAAAGTGCAGGAACATTTCTGTGTTAAAGAGCAGCAGCTCCGGGGTCCAAGGAAGCAGACGGAGGTGGGGGGTGCTCACTTGTGCCTCCCCATCGGCAAGCCAGGGGGGTTTCATTAGACTCCTTGAGTCCTTGACGAGCCGTGCATCACAGTGTGGGGGCAAGCCCACCACTGCAGGGAGCCTGGTACAGCCTTGGAGTTGTGATGCTGCTTTTTTCCTCCCCACCCCCCCACCATCTTTCTCTGCATTTGAGTGGCCATGGGCAGGCCCTGTGTGCGACCTGGGAGCATCAGGGATGCAGAATCAGACCCGCAGCTGAAAATACTTTGCTGAGCAGGAGGTAACCACCACCCCAGAGCAAGAGGATGGAGGAGGAGCGATGCACTGTGCTAGCAAGGGCTCTGCCTCCCTGGTTTGGAGGGAGGTTTTTTTGCTACTGGTATTTTCCTCGCTAACTCAGAGGGAGACCTGACTGAACACATCCCACATTGCTCAGGAGAAGAGAGGAACTGAGTAAGAATCAAAGCCTGATATCACCCGTGACGGGCAGCTGGGGATGTGGATTAGCATCTCTACAACCCTGGCAGGTTCTCCCTTGTAGAGGCTTTAATGTTGCTGGAAAGTGCGATGACTGACAGTCCCAGACACAGAGCCATCCGTGTGCCACAGCCACCATGCAAGGAGGTTCCCGTGCTTCTCAATTCTACCAGGGGGGCAGGAAAGGGCAGAGCTAGTCTACTCCCTAGCAAGCAGAGTCCTGGCATGCACAAACCTGTTGAGAGCAGGTTGCAAGAAAATCTCATTTCTGGAAAAATCTAATTTCTGGAAAATCTCATGGAGTCAGTAACAAGGGTCAGCAGAACCAGCAACCCCTGGCCCCAGCTGAGGGTCCCTCCAGTCTCCCAGCACAGAGAAGTCCTCTCCCAGGACTTGTTTCACTTGGAAAAGTAGGATATTAAGTCAAAATTCCAGCTCTCTTGGGACTGCAGGCTGGTCCTGCCATCAGCGTTGGCATCCAGAAAGTCTCCTCTGCGTTATTTCTTACACTCTCCCCACCTCTAATGTCTCCGGAGACTTTCAAAAACAGAGGAACATACGTGAAGGGGATCCCACAGACCTAGAAGCCAGAAATATGCGCAATGTGGCCTGCTGGGACCACAGAAGGGGATGTCTTGGCTGTCCCTGCCTCTGTATCCCAACTGATCAGATTTACTTCTCCACATATGCCAGTATCAAAAACCAGGTACCAACAAGTCTGTTGCTCCTGAGCTACCAGAACAAGGTCTCCTTTGCTCAATACTTACCTATGGGAATGTCTCACTAATATAACTTACCAAGGCACTATGAAACCTGCAGCCTTTCTTCTACAGGAGACAAACAAAGCCCCCACCACTCAACCAGCCACTTCAACAAAGCTCGAAATAAAACCAAACCCACGCACCACCTAAGTGGAATCTTCCCAGCACATCAGCTGGGATCGATGCCTTGAGAGTCTCAGCAATGAGGCTCAGTCCTACAAAACCAAATCCAAGGAGAGAAACCCTGAGGAATCTCTCTCCTTGGACCTGATAACTATCTCAAAGCACCTGCAATGACACACAACCTCAGTGAAATCGATATGGGAACATCATTGTAAGAATTAACCGTACCTGACGATGCATCCTTCTCTATTAGAGTTATGATCTCGTCCAATTATGGATCTTTGCTGAACTTGTAATTATGAGTTTGGTACAGTGACTTCCCACTAAGCTATTGCTTTCCTTCCACGAGGGAGAGAAGAGTCAATGAAAGGATAATGGAAATTTCCTTTCAAGGACGCAGCGATGGCAAAATTTAGCTAGACAGGAGGGGAAATACAATGGGGACTTTATGCGAGACAATTCCCTCGGTTAGCCACCACCGAACACACCAGGTTCTCGCAGCATCACTCAAACGCTAACGCAGATCTAACGGCCAGCTCTGTGCAACCACGTGAGGCAGCTCTTCCTCCCAAATTCCCTTCGTACCCAGCCATCAAAGCTGCCCAGGTGAACAACAGCTTATTCAAAGGAAAACAAAGGAATTCTTCCCATTTATCTAATCCTTTATATCTGCCCTACAAGGAAGCTTAAACAAACAACCCAAAGCCAACGCATGTGTCAGTAAGAGCATCTTTGTACTCGGCATACAGCACGAGCGTGTTTCGAGAGACTGACAGAGCACTGGACCGCACAGGGAATGGCGTCTAGGCAGCAGGAAAGCAAAGATTTATCCGCTTTTCATTAAAACACGCTTTTCCATACCTTGCTTCTGCACCATCAGCCTTTTCCCTTGTGGTAGCTGAAAAAAACCCAAACTTCAGTGACTTTTCCGAAGTACCCAAGGACTTTCACCCAAGTATTTCAGAGTCACTCATTATAAAAACAACCTCAGTGCTTGGGAAAACTTCCCCCTGCAACAGCATCTTTTTGGTACTACTTTTTTTGTTTCTGTTTTCGATGCAACTAATTTCCTCCTCCTTTTCCAAAGCAGACATCGCGAATCACTTTCCCCTTAACACAGCTATGTTTGTACTACAACAGCTAACTTGAACTCATTAATTCTCTCCCTTCTTTTCATTGAAAGCTCATTTTAAACTCACTGAGAATTTCTCGTGGTTCTAAAACACACGAAAAGAAAAAGAAATAAAAATTGAATGCCCTGCCTTTCGGCAGGAACAAATGCAATACAACCCCTGTGCATGCATGTGTTCATTCCCATCTGCAATCATCAAGCTGATCGGAGGTGTTGAGGTAATTTCACATTCAAATAAACACATTGCGAGCATTTATCGGAATGCCTAATCATTGAAACAAATGGGGCCGTGTTTGCTGCAGTGGGCGCAGGCATCTATTTGGCGTGCTGCGCTCTGCCGATGCCCGGCTTAATACAGAAAACAAATGGAGGGAGCAGACCCACTGTGCGATTTTTAAATTGCTTCCCAACGCCGTTATTTCCTGACGGTGATTTCTCAAATTCTGCAGCAGCAGCAGCAAGGCTCGCCCCGTCCTCCACCAAAATGCTTGGTCCGAGGGTCCCAAATAAAAACCATCCAGCGTGATATGACCAGAGGAAATGTGAATGCTAATTTCAAATTGTGGATGATGTTTCTGTTTCTCAGCTCCTCTAAGTCACAAAAAAAGCCTGAAGGGACTCAGGTGTACAAATCCCTGCCCCAGCCCTCATTTTGAATTTGTTGCTTTTAATTGCCTTTGTGCTCAGAGGAAGCCTGGGAAATTTCTGTCCGACAGATGATTTGCATGGGAAATAAAGGGAAAAAAAGAGGAGTTTGGAGCAAGAAATTGCCAAGGTGACCATTGTCAACAGCAGCACTGGTGCCAAGATGATGATGGACAGAGTCACCATGCACTGGTGTAGATATAGGGAAGTGCCAGGGTGCTATGTAACTGATACAAGAAACCTTCAAAGAAATCCAGAACCACAGCAACATTACTGGAAAATGCTATCTACAGTTCCTGCATAGTCCTGCATCACACAAACACCACATCTTGGGATGTCCTTATCCCTACAGAATGGTATTGCGGTCCTTACACAAATTTATGCAGCACTGCTCACAGAAACAGCCAAAGTCCTCAACCATTTTTTCCTCTTACATCCACGTGCAACACCAATGCCTGTGTCATTTGGTACCTTTGCTTCGTCTCCGGCTCCGATACTGCTCGGTGTAGAAGGTTAGCTGGGTTTCATCGTCTGCCTCTGAGCCTGAGTTTCCCTTGGCACGTCCAAACCCAATCCCACCTGCAAGCAACAGAGAGGAAAAAAAAATCAGCCCTGCCAGCTGGGATACACAGCAGTGAGGGGGAGCTGGGAGGGAGCTCCTCAGCAGAGCTGTGGGATTTGGCCATCGTCCACTGCTCCCAGGCCAGGTGCTCTGCTTGGGGCCACCAGAAACGACCGGGAACTTCTATTACTTGTGATTTTGCTGTTTCCTTATTGCCTGAATCAAGATCGCATAGTGTCAATTGTGATGCAAATATAAGAAGGTGCTTTCTACCCTCAGGAATGTATTTTACAAATGTATCATGATGTATTTACCAAGAAAACCTCTGAATGTAGAAGCAGCTCTCCCCAAGGACATCTACATGGTGAAATACGGTGAATTTTAGGTGTTTGCCTCAAAGCAAACCCAGCAGGTACAAACGTGAGAGGGGGAATGCAGCACTCAGGGGGTCCTCAGCCCCCACTTTGGCCCATCTGCTCCACCAGCTCACTGTGATGGCCAGCAGCACAGGTCCCTGTGGTGGCCGGTACAGGCAGCCGTGGCAGGGAGCAAAGCTGGCCCTTGGTTTACCTGGCATCTCCCTCCTAGAGCCGCTGAGGGATGCTGGAGCTCAGCTCCCTTCAGCCACCAGACTCACCAAGGAGCGACAGACACTTAAAAAAGCAAGGCAGACTCTAACTGGCAGTAGTCCTTCAATCCTTGCAGAGTTTAAAGCAAAGAGGCCTCTAGGGGTTGACAGTAGCCCTTTAAACTGCCATTAAAATATTTTACTGTTTTTAAAAAATCCTTTATTCTAGGCAGAAGCACAATTTCCCCACTTCTTGGCAGGAGAACAGAAAACGAGTGGTGCCTTCTGCCCTCTGAAATCCTTAATCACCATGATGAGAGGTGGCTGGCAGAGACCGGAGGGACACCGGGAGCTCAGCACGTGGCTCCTGCCCCATCCAGGCCATGCAGTGCCCTCAAAGGGGTCTCAAGGGGGACAAATTGAAAGAGGTTTTGCCAGCTCTTTTCCTCCTGAAAGCAGCAGAGGGGATCAGCACTCGCACACAGCAGCGTTTAGTGCTTGGGTGTGGGATCTGGGGGTTTGCAGACTTGCACCTCAAATCCTAACCCACCGCCAGCCCCTCTTCAAACCCCCACCTCACAGCAAACATCTCATGTCACGATAGACCTGCACCCAGGGACCGGGGTTTTGAAGGGCACAGCAGAGTAGTAAAACCAATAAGGCTTATTCACATCAGCGAGGAAAATCTTAATTAACCTGAACTTCTAATGCAGGCCCTTGGGCGACCGGCCAGGGCTGCAGCTCTGCTGCACATCCCCTTCTCCATCACCTTCTATAAGTCAGACCTGGTCCCTTTCATGCAGGCAGATGGCCGGGGTTGGCCAGAGGCAGCAATTTGGTGCTCGCTCCCTTTCCCACCCTGCCAAGGCGAGCAGGCAGCGGGTGCAGGCAGCAGCTGCCCCACCAGCCCCCATCACAGCCCCCTCCGGCCACTCTGCGTTTGTTTGCCGGCTGCGTCTCGGTGATGGATGGTGCTGACATGTTAAATTACTCAGGCTGGATGTCTTCGGAGAGCTGGTGACAGCGATATTGCATTTTCTGATTACCCAGCACTGCGCAGGATGTATAAATACAGGAGTCGGGAGACCCGGCGTGGGTCCCCAGCCCACAGCGGAAACGTCTCCTCTGACCCAACACGCGGTGGCAGAGGTCAGCCTGGAAACACGAGCCTGGGGCAGAGAAACACCTGCAAGGGATGCCCTTTTACCCCTTCACACTATCAAGGATGCTGGAACGCATCTTGGTTGTGGTTTTGGGGGTCCCAAAACCCAATCAGGGCAGTTTATAGGATGCAGGAGAGCTGATCCTTGGCTGATCCTTGACTAATCCTGCCATGAGCCTGATTTCATGTTTAACTGGCTTCGAAATCTCACTGAAGCATCCCTACGAGATGCTCACGCTTGGGCCAATACCTCCTGCACTGGCTCCACCGGCACAGGGTCAAGGTTGCTCACAACGGGGTTGAGGATGCTCATAGCAGAGAGCACCTATATGCAAGCCCAGACATGGATGAACAGGAGAGCACCCAATTAAAGTCAAGCAACCCTGCCTGACCAGTGCTTTTTTCCTCTTAAAAAGAGGGAGAAAAAGGACAAGTAAAAGAAAAAAAAAATCACCACTACTGGTTGTGGATCAGAATGAGATGCTTAAAAGACAAGACAGAGAAAGAGCAACTTTGCAGCACTGGGTACCCGTAATGCGCTGACAACTCTCCCCCAAGGAGCTATACACACTTTTGCACCTAGTTTACTCCTGCTATTTAAATTTGAGAAAAAGCAAAGCTCCCCCTCCTCGTCCGAGCCCCCC